CATGTTTCCCCATGTTCATTTGCCACCCGGCTTCAAGACCCCCAAGTTTGACAATTATGACGGGCATGGTGATCCCGTTGCCCATTTGAAGAGGTATTGTAACCAATTAAGGGGAGCGGGAGGCAAAGAAGAATTGCTCATGGCTTATTTTGGGGAAAGTTTGACAGGAATTGCTTCAGAGTGGTTCATAAATCAAGACATCTCTCACTGGCACGTTTGGAATAACATGGCTCAAGATTTTGTCCAAAAGTTTCAGTATAATATTGATATAGTGCCAGACCGCTCCTCTCTCGTCAATATTAAGAAGAAACCAACAGAAAGCTTCAAAGAATATGCAATCAAGTGGAGAGAGCAGGATGCTAGGGTCAAACCACCAATGAAAGAGGCATAAATGATTAACTATTTTCTCCAAGCTCAGGATCCTTATTACCTCCATTACATGTTGGCTGCCATTGGTAAACCTTTTGCTAAGGCGATTAAGATTAGTAAAATAGTTGAGAATGGCATGAAGTCGGGCAAAATTGTGAGTCAGGCAGCCTTTAAGGCGACCACGCAAGCAATTCAAAGTGGGTCAGGCAGTTTCGGAAATCGAAAAAAGAAAGAGGAAGGATCCATGATGGCATCTGAGTTCGGGGGAGTTCAAAGAGGAATAGTTCCTTCTTATGTGCAATTCCAACAAGGACAATCCAATTCTCCTCAATATTACTATCCACCTCAGGGTCCCCGATACTCAGTTCCCCCACAACAATACACAGTGTTTAATGCTCAGGCTTATGCTAGGCCTCTCAATCACCAGCAATGGCGGGCACCGATTCCACAAGGCTCCCATCAACTCCGGCCGAATTTTCAGGCACCATATAATCCTCGTTCCCGATAAGAATATGTGAGGGAACAGGAGCCAAAGAAAGCGTTCACCCCAATTGAAGAATCATATACAAGCCTATTTCGAAAGTTGATGCAGTTGAAGTTGATTGAACCTATTATGCCGCGTTATGTGAATCCAAATTCAAAAGGTTTTGACTCAAATGCAAGATGTGAGTATCGCTCTAACACCCAAGGTCATAGTACCGAAAATTGTTGGACATTAAAGAAAGCCATTGAAAATTTGATTGAAGCAAAGGCAATTGTGGTAACCAATAATAAGGATACTCCTAATATCACAAACAATCCGCCCCTAGCTCATGATAATACATATTTTATTGGGATAATTTGTGATGATCGGGATTATAAGAAGTCCGGCAAGACATAGATGGTTGTTAACCATAGAACAAGAACCAAAAATGATAGTGAGCCCGCCGCAATTGACATCGTTGATTGTGAAAGGTGCGAGTTCTAGTTTGAACTTGGCAGGTTTTGAAAAAACGATTCTCTATGTCCCTGGAAACACAAAAAAGGTTGAGGTTCAATTAGGTGGGCCAAACCTTTACATCCCTGGGGGCATTCAAAAGATTATTCCGAATAATGGTTTGAGAAATATAACAGAGCCAGTTATGATCCGACCTGTTGCCCAACTCCCAGTGACAAACACAAAATCTATTCCCCGGAATTATAACAAAACTATCATGACATACAAAGGAAAAGAGATAGTTGAAGAAACAGATGAAATGAGGGGCTTGACCCACTCTGGAAAGTGTTATTCACCAGAGGAATTGAGAAAAGCTAAGCAAGCTAGGGAAAGTCACTTGCCAGTGAAAGAACCTGTTGCAGAAAAAGAAGCGGAGGAATTCCTTAAGAAGATAAAAATGCAAGACTACTCAATCATTGACCAACTAAGGAAAACTCCTGCTCAGATATCTTTATTATCTCTACTTTTGCATTCATAAGAGCATCGCCGTGTGTTGATCAAAACTCTAAACGAGGCATATGTCTCAGAAAAGACAACGGTGAATCAGCTAGAAAAAATGGCTGAAAGATTCTTTGAAGTAAATAGAATTACTTTCGGCGATGATGATTTGCCTGAGAAAGGGGCTGGCCACAATAGAGCTTTGCATTTTATGGTCAAATGTGAAGGGCACTACGTAAATGGAGTCATGATTGATGGAGGCTCAAGTGTAGATGTATGTCCTCTTTCTACTCTACAACAGCTGAACATTAACACTAATAAAATTCGAACCAGTAATGTCAGCATCAGCTTTTGATGGTTCAAAAAGAGACACTATTGGGGAAATCGAACTCACCATGACAATCAGACCGGTTGATTTTAACATTGTCTTTCAAGTGTTAGATATGGAAACTTCCTATAATTTTCTTTTGAGAAGGCCGTGGATCCATATGGCCAGAGCTGTACCATCCACCCTATATCAAATGGTAAAATTCAAGTATGACAGGCAAGAAATTATTGTTCATGGGGAGGACGACTCATCCGTCTATAAAGACCTTTCCATTCCATGTATCGAGGCCAAGGAAGGATGTGAATCCATCATTTATCAAGTATTTGAGGTGATTGAGGTGGACCAAGTGGAAGAAGGAAAACCAATTCTGCATCCCCGTCTTTTAGCCACATCTATGATGGTAGCTTCGCTGATGTTGAGGAACGGCTATGAACTAGGAAAAGGATTGGGATCCTCTCTGCAAGGAATTATGAACCCCATTGCTCCCTTTTTGAAGAAAGATACCTTTTGCTTGGGTTTTAAACCAACACCAGCTGACATAGACAGAGCCAAGGCCCGTAAAAAGAATGGTTGGAATATGTCCAAACCAATCCCTCACATTGCCTACTCTTTTGTCAAGCCACAATTTGAAGAAGTCCAAAATCCTTCTACTCAAGATGACATTGATGAAGTTTGCTAGGGTCTCAAGGAGATTTTCTATGAGATCAATATGGTTCAAGTTGGGGAGGGCCCTAGCCGTGCAAGTGTTCAGTTGATTGGTCCAGATACCTCACTCAGCAACTGGAAAGCAACTCCTCTTCCCATTAGGAAGGAGTCTTGGTAGCATGTTTTGTTATTTTTTCTGTATTTGGATTATTTTAAGGGTTGCAGTCCAGATATTTTAGTTTAATTGCTTTGCTGTGATGTTAACCCTTCTATCCTTTCAAATTCAATGAAATGAAGTTCCATTTTCGTAGTAAAATTCTATCTTTTCATTTCCCTAATTTTTGTTAATTTATTATCATTTTCAGTTTCGTTAATGTTGGCTTTAAAAACATGACATGCACGCGGAATTCATGCCCAGATCTTAAAAAGCTGTCTAATCTCGAAATAATGAATCAAGAAGTTTAGTATGACGAAGATGAGGCTTTTAAGGAAATAAAAAGGGAATTGGATCAATTTGAGAATAAGCCTAAGCCTAACTTAAATGAAACTGAGGCAATTAACCTGGAAAGTCCTGAAGAAACCAGAGAAACAAAAATAAGCATTAATACTGAACAAAAGACGGGAGATGCCATAATTCAAGTTTTTTTCGAGTACAGAGATGTATTTGCTTGGTCGTATGATGACATGCTGGGTTTGGGTGCCGATTTAGTGGTCCATAAGCTTCCCACATATCCTAATTTTTCACCAATCCAGCAAAAACAAAGGAAATTTAAGACAGACATGAGTGATAAGATTAAAGAAGAAATCATGAAGCAACTAAGTGCAAATGTGATCAGGGTCGTCCAATACACTACATGGTTAGAAAATGTTGTGCCACTGCCAAAGAAGGATGGAAAAATCAGAGTTTGTGTTGACTATAGGGATTTAAACAAAGCAAGTCCAAAGGACAACTTTCCCTTACCCAACATTCATATCCTTGTTGATAATTGTGCTAAACATGAGATCCAATCTTTTGTGGATTGTTATGCCGGATATCACCAAATTCTGATGGATGAAGAAGATGCAGAAAAGACCACCTTCACAACTCCATGGGGAACTTATTGTTATAGGGTCATGACATTCGGTTTGAAGAATGCAGGGGCAACTTACATTAGATCCATGACTACCATATTCCATGACATGATACACAAAGAGATTGAAGTGTACGTTGATGATGTGATCATTAAGTCGAGAACACAAGCTGACCATGTGCAAGACTTGAAAAAGTTCTTTGAAAGGCTACGAAGGTACAATCTCAAACTCAATCCAACCAAATGTGCATTTGGAGTTCCTTCTGGGAAGCTTTTGGGTTTTATAGTTAGTCGAAGAGGCATTGAGTTAGATCGCTCCAAGATAAAGACCATTCAAGAGCTGCCTCCCCCGAAGAACAAAACAGAAGTCATGAGTTTACTCGGGAGGTTAAATTACATCAGCAGGTTCATCGCGCAACTTACAACCACATGTGAGCCTATTTTTAAGTTGTTGGAAAAGAATGTCGATATCAAGTGGACAGATGAGTGCCAAGAAGCTTTTGATAAGATCAAGGAATATTTGTCGAATCCCCTTATTTTGGTCCCGCCGGAACCTGGTAGGCCTCTGTTTTTATATCTATCAGTAATGGATAGTTCCTTTGGTTGTGTTCTGGGTCAACATGATGCCACAGGCAAAAGGGAACAAGCAATATATTATTTGAGCAAAAAGTTCACCACTTATGAGGCCAAATACACTCTTTTGGAAAGGACATGTTGCGCCTTAACTTGGGTCGCCCAGAAGCTTAGGCATTATCTTTTGGCCTATACAACATACCTCATATCCCGAATGGATATCCCGAAGTACATCTTTCAAAAGCCGATGCCAACTGGCAAATTGGCAAAGTGGAAAATCTTGCTCATAGAGTTTGATATTGTTTATGTAACTCGCACTACCATGAAGGCACAAGCTTTGGCTAATCATCTGGCTAAAAACCCGATTGATGATGAGTATGAATCTTTGAACACATATTTCCCAGATGAAGAGGTTAATTTAGTTGAAGAAGTAGTCCAAGATGACAGTCAAATTTGGAAACTATACTTTGATGGGGCTGTCAACATCAAAGGCATAGGGATTGGGACAATTCAGGTATCACCTACTGGGTAACATTACCCTGCCACGGTGCAACTTCGTTTTTTCTGGGAAAACAACATAGCAGAATATGAAGCTTGCATCATGGGTCTAACCATGGCAATAAACCTAAATGTGCATGAACTGTTGGTGATGGGAGATTCAGATTTGCTTTTTCGGCAAGCTCAAGGTGATTGGGAGACTCGAGACATCAAGCTCATTCCATATAGACAATGTGTGGAGGATCTTAGCAAAAGGTTCAAGTCCATCGAATTCAGGTACATTCCCAGGTTTCACAATGAATTAGCTGATGCCTTGGCCACCCTGGCCTCAATGCTTCCATATCCGGGTAATACTCACATTGACCCATTAGAAATTCAAATTCGGTATCAACATGGTTATTGCTATACAATTGAAGCAGGACCAGATGGTGAACCATGGTATCGTGATATTAAACAATTTCAGAAAATAAGAGAAAATCTGGAACATGCTAATAGGGATCAAAAGAGAACTATTAGGCGACTCTCTAATGGTTTCTTTTTGAGTGGGGAAATCCTATACAAAAGAACTCCGGATTTGAATTTGTTGAGATGTGTGGATGCCAAAGAAGCTGAAATGATTATGAATGAGGTGCACTCGAGAGTTTGTGGTCCGCACATGAATGGATATGTTCTAGCAAAGAAAATCCTTCGGGCAGGATATTATTGGCTTACTATGGAACGAGATTTCTTTCGTTTTGTTCGCAAGTGCCGCCAGTGTTAGATTCACAGTGATTTGATTCACTCGCCTACTTCAGAGTTGTATCCTATGTCGGTTCCTTAGCCTTTTGTTTCTTGGGGAATGGACGTCATTGGCCCAATCGATCCAAAAGCTTCAAATGGGCACAAATTCATCTTGGTTGCAATTGATTACTTCACCAAATGGGTGGAAGCTATTACATTGAAAGCAGTTACCAAGAAAGAAGTAGTATACATTGTTCACTCCAACATCGTCTGTCATTTCGGTATTCCAAAAATCATTATCACGGATAATGCTGCTAATTTGAATAGTCACCTGGTGAAGGAGGTATGTGAATAATTTAAAATTGAGCATCGCAATTCTACTCCTTACCGTCCCATGACTAATGGATCTGTTGAAGATGCGAATAAGAACATCAAGAAGATTCTTAGGAAGATGATCCAAGGGTCTAGATGATGGCACGAGAAACTGCCTTTTGCTCTTTTGGGATATCGGACAACTATCCGTACATCAGTTGGCGCAACGCCCTACTTATTAGTTTATGGAACTGAAGCGGTCATACCTACTGAAATTGAGATTCCCTCTCTCCGAATCATTGTTGAAGCAGGGATTGAGGATACTGAATGGGTGAAGTCCCGATTGGAACATTTGAGTTTGATTGATGAAAAGCGTTTGGCGGCAGTTTGTTTTGGTCAGTTATACCAACAAAGAATGGCACGCGCTTACAATAAGAAAGTGCGCCCAAGACAATTCGAGGTAGGGCAACTTGTTTTAAAACGTATCTTTCCGCACCAGGAAGAAGCAAAAGGAAAGTTCGCCCCGAATTGGCAAGGTCCTTACCCCGTCAAAAAAGTATTGTCAAAAGGAGCTTTACACTTGGCAGATATAGAAGGAAAGGTGGTTGATATATCCGTCAACGCAAATGCGGTCAAGAGATACTATGTCTGACATGGCTCTGTTGGGGCATTTTTATATTTAGCATTCTCAGGTTGGGATGACGAAAGGCTATAATTCTCGCTACCCAAACACCGGTCAACCCTAGTTAGCCCTTTTGAAGACTTGTTTATATTTCTTTGTTTTCCCCTCTTTTGGAACCAAAGTATTTTTTAAAAAAAATAAAAAAAAAAGAAAAAAATAGAAAAAGATTCATCATCAAAAGAAGTTCAGGTTTATTGAACTACGTCTGACCTGATTCCAAAAAGATACGTAGGCAACCTCACTCTGGGGTTCAGTCACACAAAAATAAAAATCCATATTTTTCCAGTATTCAAATAAACTGGGCATGATTTTATTTTATTTTCGATGGTTGTTCCATCAAAATGGTTCCAAAAGTTGTAATTCATTTGAATAGTTCTTTTTACCTTTCCCTGCTATGACCTTCTGAGCAACTTTTGAGAATGCTAAGTCAATATACTACGGGTGATGCCTGAGTTAATGTAAAGAGAGAAAAATAAATAAGAGAGTCTTATTGGTGAAAACCCTCACGGGCACTATACGACAATGGTGAGTTGAGAGAAAGGCAAATGAGATAGGTCAGTTGGTGAAAACCCACATAGGGCATCATTGATTGATTTATGTCTTCATATATCCTGGCACAAGTATGGTTAAGACAAAGAACTCAGCTCCAAAGTGAAGTTTACAACAGATTTTGAGAATTAGACGGTTCAAACGGATCGGGCATCCAGTCCAAAGTGCATGTCATGTTCATTGAAGTCAGCATATTCCTCCAGATAAGTCCTTTCTTTTTTTTCCCCTGAAAGGGACACTTCTTGATTAAGTTGTAACAAGTATTAGTTCACCTTCTTGTTTTCTTTCGCATTACTTTTTTTTGAGTCCCTTTCAGTCTAATTTTGTCAAAGCAAAGCAAAGAAAAGGCCGCAAAGTTGGTTATAGTTTTCCCGTTATATAAAGCAAAAATTGCTGGGCATAAACCGTATGGGCAAAGGCATAAAGCCATCTGTGATTTTTTCCTAACGAACAAAAGGCTTGAAGGACTAAACAATGTTCAAGGCTCAACAAAAGTTACTCAGTTAAAGGTTGTGAGAAAGAATATCTCTAGAAAGAAAAGACAAAATCTCCCGGCAATTTGTACAATCATCAACAGAGTCAGTTTTTCTAACAAGTGTAATGGACGCAAGGTCAAATCGCCCAAGAAATCAAGGTCACAAACTGACCATCATTTTAAAACTAACAAGTCTTTCTTTGTTCAAAACAAGAACATAACAATTTTAGAAAATATTTCGTGAAAAGACGAACACCACCAAGTGAAGTTCTCAAATCCTTGATTTTCTCCTAATATACATGTAATCATGTTATTTTTAGTTTCATTATAGGGAATCAATACCCTATCTTCAACACAGGGTACTACATCCCCTGGTTGCATTTCTGGTTGCAAACATAGGGTACGACATTCCCTAGTAGCATCCCAGAGTGCCAAAAGCCTCACCTCATTGCCAACACAGGGTACTACATCCCCTGGTTGTATTTTTTGTTGCATACATAGGGTACGGCATTCCCTAGTAGCATCCCAGACTGCCAAGAGCCTCACATTATTGCCAACACAGGGTACTACATCCCCTGGTTGCATTTCTTGTTGCATAAATAGGGTACGACATTTCTTAGTAGCATCCCAGAACGCCATGAACCTCATCTTATTGCCAACACAGGGTACTATATCCCATGGTTGCATTTCTTGTTGCAAACATAGGGTATGACATTTTCTAGTAGCACCCCAGAGTGCCTGGAGCCTCATATTATTGCCAACACAGGGTACTACAGCCCCTGGTTGTATTTTTTGTTGCAAACATAAGGTACGACATTCCCTAGTAGCATCTCAGAGCGCCACGAGCATCATTTTATTTCCAACATAGGGTACGACATTCCCTAGTAGTGTCCTATGAGTGCCTCGAGCCTCATCTTATTTCCAACAAAGGATACTACATCCCCTGGCTGCATTATGTTTTACCAACATAGGGTATGATATTTTCAAGTAGCATCCTAGAGTGTCACAAGCCTCATCTTATTATTAGCACAGGGTACTACATCCCCTGATTGCATTCCTTCTTGTTAACATAGGGTACGACATCTCTTATTATAAAAAAAAAAAAGGGATGCAAAGCCCTATTTTTTTAATTCTTTATTTCTGCAATAGCAAAGATAGTTTAATGTGTTTTCAATAACTCACAAAAAGTTTTAGTGCAAACTGGGGGCAAAATATTTTTATTCGTTTTGTTTGTTTCTGATGACTTGCAGGTTTTTCTGCAAAGTACGGATTGGATGTGAAAAAATAAAGATTCCATCTCTTGCTAGAGAAAGTGAAACATTTGATCGCAATACCAAACGCAACTAACTTTGACATAGGGCTCAAGATTCATCTTCTCATCATCTGATCAAGAAACAAGCCTGTGAGAATATTTCATAGTTTGTTACATCGAGAGCATCAAGTTTCAGTCTAAAGTCAATGGGGCAAGCAACTCAAGAATCAAGACAAGACTCCAGATGACAGTTAGATAGAAATTTTGTAACTCTTAGATTTCAACAGTATGTAATTTTCTTTTCATTTTTATGTAATAGTAGGAACCGCGGATCGGAACCTCGACGGAACTTCGCTCGGCTCTTTATCTAAGCGTACTCTGTCACTCTTTTTCCATTTGAACTACACGTGACCTGATTCCCTTATAACCCGGTATATGTAGGCTACCTAAAGGCTCGGACACATCTTTTCTTTTATCTTCTTTTCCTTTTTAAATAATAGTGAGGTCAAAAATCAGTCACCTTGTTCATTTTCTTTGCTTGAAAACTCTTCATGTTTCCAAGCAAAGAGCGGCATGTTGTGAACAACTAATTTTTTACCATACCCAAATTTTATACTATTTTAGTGTAAATATTTATTTAAGGTCTAATCTTAATATTTTAAACTTTTATTTTACTCTTAATATTTTAAACTTTTATTTTACTCTTAATAGATTTTAGTTTTAAAAGAAAAATAATTACAAAAATATTCACATGCTTGTAGTACAAATTTTATTTCCATTTCTAAAGAGAAAAAGAAAATTTACAAAGCTAAATGGTTTCTTTTAATTAGAATTTGAATAAGTTGTGGTATTTATTTTAGTGTAATTAAATTATATATATATATNAGTTCTAAAAGAAACAAAAAAGAAAAAAAGAAAGAAGAAGAAGCAATTAAGTTTACGTAACTTTGCCAAAAGTTTAATAAACTTTAACTTAAAAGAGATTTCACTCACCCCATTACTCTCATATACACCTCCATATTCACGTGATTTGCTCTCACAAAGATAAAAATATAACTAACTCCCTAATTCCGTTCCCCTTCACATCAATCTACTCCAGCCCACACCTCACGTCTCAATTCTTTTCTGAACCTCAATCCCACGTCTTCACTTCGACTCCTTGGCACAAGACTTGATAACTACCATTGTTCTTCTTTATAAAAGAAAAAACTCACGAAGAAAAGAAAAAGAACATTGGAGAGGAATCGGATAAAAAAAATCATCCATCAAAATACCACAAAGAAGGAACTCACTTTCTTCCTTGGATAGAGAACGAAAATAGTCAAGGAAATAGGTCTCCGGTTGCGGTTAGGTTCTGCAATCACTGCTCAAGTTTCATACTGGCGATATTTTGAATTCTACGTTAAAGGTTCATTACTTGCTTTGCCTTTTAAATTTTGTCTCTTATACTATTTTGAATATTGGATCCATATCTTAATCATTTCCATCCCATTTTGATGTGTCCGATTTGGATTATGTGATAAAGCATGAAATGAATTTGGCTTTATAATTCAGTTTATTTATTTATATTGAAGGATTAGTTTTTGGAGATGAATTACTAAATGGGTTTAGAATGTATAATATTAAGGGGAATAATGATTATCTATTTGCATGGTGGCATCTTTTGGTTTATAAAATATTGAATCGACTTCATGACCCATTATATTTGGGGTTTGATTTTTTTAGTTATTTTAAACCAATAGAAATATCTGTGATTTGATCTATCTGCTCTCATGTTGGTATTTAGATTACCATACGGTTTAAAAATTTAAAAAATTGGTGAACAAACAACATGGGATGTTGGGGGTTTTAGCAAGATCTGGAACGAATTTGACCTTTGAAGTATTCTGTCATATGCATATTATTTGAGTGAGCTCATATCAAACTACTGTTTGTTTCATTACCACGTCTGTCGTTTTGCTTCAAGGAAAGTATGATTTATTTTGTTAGATCATCTAATAAACTTTTAAATAATTCAAATTTAGATAGTTTTTGTAGAGCTAAGAGGAATTTTGAGAGTTTAGATTTAATTTTTTGGGCCTCATACGAGCCCACCATTTCGGTATTAGATTGATTCTTATCATGTTACTTTGCTGCAATAGGGAGCAGACGAACTTTTCCAAGCCCATTTCCTTTAGTATCCATATGGTGGCCCAATAACGAATAAATAATACTAACCTATTTTTTTCATAGATAATAAATGTGCATACCTGCTCTATACTATTAGTCCACTTAACACCCTCAAAAGTACTTCATTCATCAAACTAATTCCATATCCATAAATCATGGCCTCACAACAATCTCAAATGTAGCAAAAAAACAAACAATGAATACGCAAGTATGCTTTTAGGTGCGCTCTTAATTAATTGAATCATCGTGATTATGTATACGTTCGCGTGACATAATTATGATTCCCAAAATTAAAACTAAGGTATGCGTTCGCGCAACTTTGGGCAAACAAATCTTAAAAATAATAAAGTATTATTAATTATGTACACGTACGCGTGACATGATTCATGACACACCAAACAAGATGGGTACACGTACATGTGACTCATTTCAAGATAATTCCATAATTACGAATAATCAAGCAATCTAAAAGCGGTAAAAGGTAAAATGCACATAGGTTCTAAAATAAGTAATTAAAACAATTTA